AAAGATGAATCAGGTGTAGGAACAACTAGGTTAAAACAGGGCAGGCACGGTGGCCCACACCTGTAATCCCAGCACTTTGGGAGGCCGAGGCAGGCGGATCACCTAAGGTCAGGAGTTTAAGACCAGCCTGGCCAACATGGCAAAACCCTGTGTCTACTAAAAATACAAAAATTCGCTGGGCACAGTCATGCATGCCTGTAGTCCCAGGAACTAGAGAGGCTGAGGCAGGAGAATCGCTTGAACCCAGGGGCGGAGGTTGCAGTGAGCCGAGATCGCAGCTCTGCACTCCAGCCTGGGCAACAGAGCGAAACTCCATCTCAAAAAAAAAAAAAGAAAAGAAAAGAAAAACCAGATAGGCTAGGCTGGAGCCCTGGCTACAAGGGAGGCTGTGAGATTTCATAACTGCCATCTTCCTTGAGAGTGTGAGGAGGGTTTTATCTGGGGAGATGATGGCCTCCCAGACAGACAGAGAGAACTAAGATGCCAGGCACCCAAGACCAACAACAGCCCACCATGACCACACTCTTTGTCTGATATGGTTTGGCTGTGTCACCACCCAAATCTCATCTTGAATTGTAACTCCCATAATCCTCACATTTCATGAGAAGGACGCACTGGGAGGCAATTGAATCACGGGGGTGGGTTTTTCCCATGCTGTTCTCGTGATCTCGAGTAAGTCTCATGAGATCTGATTTTTATTTTATTATTATCTTTTTTTATTTTTATTTTTATTTTATTTTTTTGAGACGGAGTCTCGCTTTGTCGCCCAGGCTGGAGTGCAGTGGCATGATCTCTGCTCACTGCAAGCTCCGCCTCCCGGGTTCACGCCATTCTCCTGCCTTAGCCTCCGAGTAGCTGGGACTACAGGTGTGCACCACCACACCCAGCTAATTTTTTGCATTTTTAGTAGAGACGTGTTAGCTAGGATGGTCTCGATCTCCTGACCTCGTGATCCACCCACCTCAGCCTCCCAAAGTGCTGGGACTACAGGCGTGAGCTACCGCGCCCGGCAAGATCTGATTTTTATAAAGGGCAGTTCCACTGCACATGCTGTCTTGGCTGCAGCCGTGTAAGATGTACCTATGCTCCACTGTGAGTCCATTAAACCTCGTTTTCTTTATAAATTATCCATTCTTGGATATTTCTTCATAGCAGTATGAAAATGGACTAATACATTGCCCACCACACATATTTTTTTAAGCCAGTCAAATTTAGCAGTGGGGGTTGTATACCAACTTAGTGGCACTAATATGTTTTGATAACCTACTATCATTGGTTCAAACATATAAATATACAGCCACATCATACATGAAATAGAATGTAGATAGCCAGGCTGGGCGTGGTGGCTCACGCCTGTAATCCCAACACTTTGGGAGGCCAAGGCAGGCGGATCACCTGAGGTCAAGAGTTCGAGACCAGCCTGGCCAACATGGCGAAACCCCATCTTTACTAAAAATACAAAAATTAGCCAGGCATGGTGGCGTATGCCTGTCATCCCAGCTACTCAGGAAGCTGAGGCAGAATTGCTTGAACCTGGGAGGCAGAGGTTGCAGTGAGCCGAGATTGCGCCACTGCACTCCAGCCTGGGCAACAGAGTGAGGATCTGTCAAAAAAAAAAAAAAAAAAAAAGAAAAAGAAAAAGAAAAAAAAAAGAATGTAGATAGCCAATAGGGTAAAAACAGTTTCTTAGGCAAACTGATCTTATGTTTCTGCCAAAGCTTACTAACATGCTGGTAATGAACCAAAGAAGTAATAAAATTATGCCAGTTCACAAAGTGTATGGAAAAGAAGAGCTCATATCCTTTAAAAGTAGAACGCTTATGTAGCTGGTTTATTTTCTTTGTTTTGCTTTTGTTTTTTGTTTTGTTTTGTTTTGTTTTCCTTTTCCTTGAGACTGAGTTTCACTCTGTCGTCCAGGCTGGGGTGCGGTGGCACGATCTTGGCTCACTGCAACCTCTGCCTCCCAAGTTCAAGCGATTCTCATGCCTCAGCCTTCCGAGTAGCCGGGATTACAGGTGCCTGCCACCACGCCCAGCTAATTTTTGTATTTTTAGTAAAGACAGGGTTTCACCATGTTGGCCAGGCTAGTCTCCAACTCGTGACCTCAAGTGATCCACCTGCCTCGGCCTCCCAAAGTACTAGGATTACAGGCATGACCCACTGCACCCAGCCTGCTTTGTTTTTTGAGACAAGGTCTTGCTCTGTCACCCAGGCTGGAGTGCAGTGGCATAATCACAGCTCACTGCAGTCTCAAACTCCTGCGTTCAAGCCATCCTCCTGCCTCAGCCTCCCAAGAAGCTGGGACCACAGGCGGACACCACCATGCCTGGCTAATTTCTTTTTCTTGTGTAAAGATGGGGTCTCGCTATATTGCCCAGGCTGGTCTCAAACTCCTGAGCTCAAACAATCCTCCCACCCAGGTCTCCCAAAGTGCTGGAATTATAGGTGTGAGCCACTGTGGCCAGCCAATTATTGTTGTCTTAAGAGTTATTTATGTATTTTAGATACTCCTTTATAAGTGTTTTGAAAATATTTTCTCTTAGTCTGTGACTCGTCTTTTCATTCTTTGTTTTTTGATTTTTGTTTTTTGTTTTCAGACAGGGTCTTGCTCTGTTGCCCAGGCTGGAGTGCAGGGGCACAATCCTAGCTCACTGCAGCCTCTGAACTCTTTGGCTCAAGTGGTCTTCCCGCATCAGCCTCAGCCTCCCAAGTAACTGGGACCACCAGCACATGCCACCACACTCACCTAACTTAAAAAAAATTTTTTTTTTAGAGATGGGGTCTCTCTATGTTGCCCAGACTAGTTTCAAACTCCTAGGCTCGAGCAATCCTCCCGCCTCGACCTGCCAAAGTGCTGGGATTACAGGCACAGGTCACTGCACCCGACCTCATTCTCTTAACATGTTTTAAAGGTCTCAAACACATTCAGAGTCTCCTGAAAAGCTCATAGACCCAAGGCAGATGTGGTGCCTAATTGATTTTCTTAAAAAATAGCAAAAAAAAAATTCTCTACACAGGTAGAAGAATGGGCATATCTGGGGGAAATGGCAGCTGTTAAGAAACCAGACATCCAGGAGTCACAGCTGGCAATCCTTCCCTCCAGGAAGCCCACCAGGATTGCATCAGCCCATGGCACTCTCTTCTGCCTCTCAATCCTTGACAGGTGTGTGAAGCTGGCTTCAGCTTCTCCTGCACACCTATCTCAGTGCTGATCATTGTCCCCTAGGTCAGAGACCTGAGGCGCCCTTTGGATGTCTCCCTGGCTCCTCACACTCCCGAGACTCCACGCTGTCCTCAGCATCTCTCCCAAAACAACTGTTCCTCACAGGTCCCTGTTTCAAAGTCCACCCCATCCAATCCCTGGGCCAGAGCCCTGAGCCTCACCCTGAATCCCCTCCCTTCTTCCAGTTCATCAAACTTATGACCCATTTACTCTGCCTCCTCCTTCCTTCCCCACAGCCCCACCCTGGCCCAGCAACTGTCCTCACCCTCCATCCCTCATCCTGCTCCAGCCTCCTCCCTGGGTACCCAGCTCTAGTCTCACTCCACCATCTTTCACCACTTGCTGACTCAAAAACTATTTATTTTTGAGACACAGTCTTGCTCTATCACCCAGGCTGGAATGCAGTGGCGGGACCTTGGCTCACTGCAACCTCTACCTCCTGAGTTCAAGCGATTCTCCTGCCTTAGCCTCCTGAGTGGAGTAGCTGGGACTACAGGCGCAAGCCACCATGCCCAGCTAATTTTTGTATTTTTTGTAGACAGGGTTCCACGATATTGGGCAGGCTGGTCTCGAACTCCTGACCTCAAATGATTTTTCCACCTCAGCCTCTCAAGTGCGGGATTACAGGCGTGAAACACGATGCCCGGCCTAATTCAACAACTATTTCGAAAGCCAGGCTCTGAACTGGACACCAAGGAGAAAGTGATGGCCTAGGCAAGCCCGCTGAGTGAAAGTTCCATAAATACTGCCTTTCCTCAGGGCCCGTCTTCCTCTGCTCTGGTCTCATACTGATGCCCACAGCGCATTCAGCTCTCTGACGGGGCCCAGCAGGCTCGCCAGAACTCCAGCCCTACTGCTTTCTGGGCATCCCGCAGACCTCTCACACCTGCTGTGTCCCAAACTGACCCACCCCTGCTGCTTATTTTTACCATCCCTACCTGGTGGTGTGTCTGTCTCCCCACTGAACTGTGAGCTCTGTACAATAGGGACAAGGGCTGTCGTGGTCACCATGTTGTCCCCAGCATCACCCAGCACAGAGTCAGCTCCCTGAGTTTATGGAATGGTAAGCACAAATGAATGGGAAAATGCATGCCAGGGAAATGTTAGGGTCATACTATCTGCCCCTACCCTCCACTCAGACATGGGACACCTGTTTCTGAAATCAAAGAGCAGTAAGTCCAGGATCTCATTCCCTGGTTCCAGTCCTCCTAGGCTGCAAGTCCCATTTTGTCAACAAAATAAAGGGGGCGGGCACGGTGGCTCACACCTGTAATCCCAACACTTTGGGAGGCTGAGGCGGGAGGATCGCTTTAGCCCAGGAGTTCAAGAGCCCAGAAGCTGAGACTAGCCTGGGCAACATAGTGAGATCCCATCTCTATTAAAATAAAAATGTTGTTTTTTTGTTTTTGTTTTTGTTTTTTTTTTGAGACAGAGTCTCGCTCTGCCGCCCAGGCTGGAGTGCAGTGGCCGGATCTCAGCTCACTGCAAGCTCCGCCTCCCGGGTTCACGCCATTCTCCTGCCTCAGCCTCCCGAGTAGCTGGGACTACAGGCGCCCGCCACCTCGCCCGGCTAGTTTTTTGTATTTTTTAGTAGAGACGGGGTTTCACCGGGTTAGCCAGGATGGTCTCGATCTCCTGACCTTGTGATCCGCCCGTCTCGGCCTCCCAAAGTGCTGGGATTACAGGCTTGAGCCACCGCGCCCGGCCTAAAATAAAAATGTTTAATTAAAAGAAGAAGAAGAAAATAAAGGGAAGCATCAAGGACTCTTTTGCCTCTTTCGGGTTAGCTGGTAGTGAGCGAGAGAACGAGGGAAGGCGGGCGGGGCCGCCGTCTCTCCACGCCCTTTTCATTTCCACTCAAGGAGACCCACCTGGGAAGAGTGAGCGCTGCAAGACCCAACCTTACCACGCTAAGGTTACTACGCAGCGCCGGAGCCCGCTGTCTGCCCGGCAACCGATGACGTCCTGTTGGCGCGTCCGTGACGTCAGAGGCGGGCGCCACACTTGAAGAGGCTGAGGGAGGCGGTGGCGCAGCTGTGGCGCTGTCATGGAGCTAGCGCGGGAAGCGCGGGAACTGAGTTGCTGGGCGGCCGAAGAGATGGGGGTGCCCGTGGCAGCCCGAGCCCGGGAATCGACGCTGCGCAGGTGAGGACCGCTCCTGGAGTGAGGACTCCCCACCCTGGAGATTGAGTCTCCGGGAGTGAGATCTCCACCCCTCATTGAGGACTCGACCCCCCGTTCCCCATCGAAAGTGACCCGAGTTACTGAGGGCTCCCTGCCCTGGGAGGCTTCCCAGAGTGAGGTCCCTAGCACTGGTGAGAATCCTCCACGAGTTAGTGAAGATCCCTCTCCGTATGGAAATAGGATCTCCAGGGTGAGGCTGTCCCCGCAGCACCTCCCCTTCCCACCCTTACCCCAACCAAAAAGGACACTCAGGAGTTAGCCGTGGCCACCCCATCGGGATTGAATCTGTAGGAGTGATGCCCCACATCTGGCCATGAGATGGCACTTCCTGGCAGTACATCCCCCACCTCCACCTCTGAATGTGACTGGATAACCCTCTCCCAGGAGAAAGGGAGCCCTCGCCACTCACCCCCACCCCCACCCCCCATCCCCCACCCCCGCCTTCCCGGGGAATGAGAATACCACCATACTTAGTGCAAAGATCCAGTCCCTACAAAAATAATGTTTTACCAATTAGCCGGGTGTAGTGGTGCCTGCCTGTAGTCCTAGCTGTTCTGGAGGCTGAGGTGAGAGGATCGCATGAGCCCAGAAGGTTAAGGCTGCAGGGAGCTATGATCATACCACTGCACTCCAGCCTGGGTAACAGAGCGAGACTCTGTCCCTAAAAAAAAAAAAAAAAAAAAAAAGTTTGGGCCTTCCCTCCCCAAGAAGTGAGAACTCCCTAATAAAGACTCCCTACCACCATCACCTTGGGAATGAGGATCCCACACCCTGTGTGCTGCCCCAGGCATACGCTTACACACTGTCCCCACAGGCTGTGTCTGGGCCAGGGGGCTGACATCTGGGCCTACATCTTGCAGCATGTGCACAGTCAGAGGTAAGTTGGGCTAGAGTAGGGGAGGGGGCACAGGTGAGGTCCGTAGTAACTCCTCTTTTTGCCTCTGCACTGTAGGACTGTCAAGAAGATCCGAGGAAACCTACTCTGGTAACTGCTTCTTAAAGCTATCCCTTCCTATCCCCACTCCCATCTAGCCCTGTCCTCACCACAGCATCACACCTGTTGCCCTCCCCACTGGAAGCCCCACTCATCCACTGACTCTGGTCTCATTTTCCTAGGTATGGCCACCAGGACAGTCCACAGGTAAGAAGCATATGCTGCAAGATTCTCTTTCATCCGAAAAATGATTTGTAGATCTCCTGCTCTAAGCCCAACCAGGTGCTGGGTGATGCTGGGGACAATGGGTCACAAGATAGCCCTGATCCCCATCCTCATAGGGCTTAAAGTCCAGTGGAGATAGCATTAGCTCAGCTGGGAGCAGTGGCTTACACCTGTTATCCCAGCACTTTGGGAGGCTGAAGCGGGCGGATCACCTGAGGTCAGGAGTTCGAGACCAGCCTGTCCAACATGGTAAAGCCCCATCTCTACTAAAAATAAAAAATTAGCCAGGTGTGGTGGTGCACACCTGTAATCCTGTCTACTTGGGAGGCTGAGGCAGAAGAATTGCTTGAACCTGGGAGGCAGAGGTTGCAGTGAGCCGAGATCGCTCCACTGCACTCCAGCCTGGGCAATGCAGTGAGACTCTGTCCAAAAAAAGAAAAAAATATAAAGAGATAGTATTAGCTGGGGGCAGAGAGGTGGGACATGGATATGTGGCATCAAAGCTGCTGAGAAGAGATGAAGGGACAGGTTTGGGAGAGATGCTGAGGCCAGTGTAGGACCTAGTGGGTGTAAGAGGCTCATATGACACCTGAGGGGAGGCTTCCAGGAGTCCTTGGGACTTCTAGGTGCAGGGCTCCAGGAAGAGATCAATACTAGGACAAAGATGTGGTTGTCATCAGCACAGACAGGAAACAGGAAACAGGCTGGAAGTATGGGTAAGACAATCCTAAGAGGAAGGAGGGAGCCAGTACCCTAATGCTTCTGCGTCAGACACAGAAACTGCTGAGCAAAAACCCTTTGCCACCAGTTGAGGAGCCTGGTACCCCCAAAAGACAGGCCAGGCTGAACCCCGATCAGACCGTGCATCTCACCCTGAATCTGATCCTCCCAGGTCCGTCGGAAGTTAGAGCTGGAAGCTACCGTGACCCGCCTGCGGGCAGAAATCCAGGAGCTCGACCAGAGCCTGGAGCTGATGGAGCGAGACACTGAGGCTCAGGGTGAGCCATGGGGCCAGAAAATGGGCAACAGAATGTGGGCCGGGAAAGGTGCTGATGGCTACCCTTGTTCCTCCTACAGACACAGCCATGGAGCAGGCACTTCAGCACACTCAAGACACCCAGCGTCGAGCTCTCCTCCTCCGGGCCCAAGCTGGGGCCATGCGAAGACAGCAGCATAGGCTCCGAGATCCCATGCAGCGGCTGCAGAATCAACTGAGGCGCCTGCAGGACATGGAGAGGTGGGCCTCAGGGACCCACCCTCACCAGGCTGGGCAGCCAGACATTCTCTTAGAGACCTCAGGGCTCTGCCCCGATCCCTTCTTGGGTTCCAGAATTCTCAACTCCCACCATTAGGATGGAAGGTCCATGAGGCCAGGAGGTTTTGTCATCTCAGTCACTTATATTTCCAGTGCCTAGAATAACAGCTGTATACCTAGAACACCAGCTCTGGGGAAACAGCCACAAACAGAGAACAAGTCCTTGCCCTCCTGGAGCTTACACTTTGACACGGAGAAGACAGATAGTAAACTAGGAACCAAACAGACCCTATCATTTCTGGTAGAGATGAGTGCTGTGAAGAAAAGCCTGTAATAGAAGGGAGAGGGAGATGCTGCCCTAGCGAGGGAAGGCCTCTGAGGAGGTAACATTGAACTGGGAGAGGAATTTCTGTGCAGAGGGAATAGCAAGAGCAGAGGCAGCGTGCTCAGCATGCAGGAAGAGCAGCCAGGGGCCAATGTCAGCTCGAGTTTCTCAGGCAAGACTGAGAACCTGAGGAGGTGAAGTTGGAGGAGTGGACAGAGAACTGTGGATGATGTGTTGCGATTTTGCCCTGAGACTGATTCGTGCCCTGGCTTGGCCACTTAAAATTGAGTGACCTTAGGCTGGGTGCGGTGCTCACACCTGTAATCCCAGAACTTTGGGAGGCCGAGGCAGGCGGATCACTTGAGGTCAGGAGTTTGAAACCAGCCGACAAAAATTAGTCGGGTGTGGTGGTGCATGCCTGTAGTCCCAGCTATTCGGGAGACTGAGGCAGGAGAATCACTTGAACCCGGGAAAAAGAGGTTGCAGTGAGCTGAGATCGTGCCACTGCACTCCAGCCTGGGCTACGAGAGCAAAACTCCATTTGAAAAAAAAAAAAATTGGGTGACCTTGGGCAAGGTATTTAACTTCTGTGTGCCTCAGATTCTAAGATCTGTGGAATGGAGATAACATTAATACCAAGCTTATCGGGTAGGCATGATCGTTAGGTGGACTCAATCATATGAAGTGCTTAGAAAAGTGCCTGTTAACTGTTGTTATTGTTCTGGGGTTTTGTTGTTGTTGTTTTTTTTTTTTTTTTTTTGAGACAGAGTCTGGTTCTGTTGCCCAGGCTGGAGTGCAGTGGCAGCTCACTGCAACCTCTGCCTCCCGGGTTCACACCATTCTCCTGCCTCTGCCTCCCCAGTAGCTGGGATTATAGGCGCATGCCACTGTGCTCGACTAATTTTTGTATTTTTAGTAGAGACGGGGTTTCACCATGTTGCCCAGGCTGGTCTTGAACTCCTGACCTCAAGTGATCTGCCCACCTCGGCCTCCCAAAGCACTGGGGTACAGGCATGAGCCCCCACACTGCGCCCATTGTTATTCTGAATGTGCTGGGGAAACATCACATTATTTTGGAGGCATCTGAGCAGGGACATGATCTTCCTCGGGTTTTAACAGGATCATTGACTCCTGGGTGGAGAACAGTCTCATGGGGCAAGAGCAGTGGAGAGGCTAATGCGATATTCCAGCTGGGAGGTGACAGTGGCCTAATCTGGAGACAGCTTCCGGGATCTAGGCTTAGTGGTTCCTCTGACTGGCCTTGCTGGCAGTGAGAAGAGATGGGGCACAGACATCTGTTTTCCCAGGGACCCCAGCCCCAACTGCACTTCTCCCTCCAGGAAAGCCAAAGTAGATGTGACCTTTGGATCCCTCACATCAGCAGCTCTGGGCCTGGAGCCTGTGGTCCTGGTAAGAGTCCCCGATCATGGGAGAAGGGGCAGGGAGCCTGGAGTCAGGCAGACGCCAGGGTCCCCCTCAGGTCCCTTCCTCTTCTCCCTAGCGTGATGTTCGAACAGCCTGCACCCTCCGGGCCCAGTTCCTGCAGAACCTCCTGCTTCCCCAGGCCAAGAGAGGCAGCCTCCTGTGAGTGTCCCTAGCCCCCAGAGACCCTGCAAAGAACCTGGGTTTTAAGAGGAGGGTGTCTCTTACTTACTAATTCCTCAGACACTGAGCTTCTGGGCTACGTTCTATAGAAGGGGACAGACTCATCACAGTGACAGTCAGGTGGTCAGGGCTGTTGGGGGAGTGAGGAGGCCTGAGAGGCTCTGGGCACCCAGAGGCAGTGCCTTTCCCAGCTAAGAAGGTAGGGAGGGGAGAGGTTCTTTGGTGAGGAGGCTCAGCTGGGGTGAAGGGTCCAGAGAGTGTCCAGATGAACAACCCATGTAAAGGCCCCAAGGCCAGCAGGTTGGTATAATTGGGGAACTCAAGTCTAACAGGCACAGGGACGATGACAGCCCCTACCTTATAGGGCGGTGGTGATAACTAGAGGATAATTGACGTGTCTTGTAACATTTTCTGTCCCCTTACCCAACCCTACAGAACCCCTCATGAAGACCACTTTGGCACTTCCTACCAGCAGTGGCTGAGCTCTGCGGAGGTGAGAGGGCAGGGCTCTCAGGAAAGGCACAGCCTCCCGCCCCATGATCAAAACTTAGGGTGCCAGGACCTAACTCTTGACGACAGCCCCATTCCCATGGGGTCTCAGCTCACAGCCCTGCCCCGATCCTGCCCTGACTTCACCCTCCCTCCCACTAGATGCTGCTGACAAACCACCCTCCGGGCCACATCCTGGCTGCCTTGGAGCACCTGGCTGCAGAGCGGGAGGCAGAGATTCGGTCCCTGTGCAGTGGGGATGGGCTTGGCGATACAGAGATATCCAGGTGTGGGGCAGGGTATCCCTACAGTTGGGGAAGGCCGCGTGAGTGGGTGAGCTGGGATAGCCTCAGGAACTGGCCCAGCCACCTGCTGACGGGGTGGAACTGAAACCCACTGCCCAGTGGGGTGGCAGGACTGACACTGGCCACCCTCGAGTACCAAGGCAAGGCCACTGCACGGCTCCCTCAGCAGCTCTTTCCCCACCCCAGACCCCAGGCCCCGGACCAGTCAGACTCCAGCCAGACCCTGCCGTCCATGGTTCATCTCATCCAGGTGACCCCAGGGCTCGCCTCCCCACCGCATTCCAAGACTTCCTCAATCCCCTCACCCATGGATCATGCCCTGGGTGTACCCTGACTCTGTACCCCCCTTGCAGGAGGGCTGGCGGACTGTGGGTGTGCTGGTCTCCCAGCGGAGTGCCCTTCTGAAGGAGCGGCAAGTCCTGACCCAGCGCCTCCAGGGCCTGATGGAAGAGATGGAGAGACGCGTCCTGGGATCCAGTGAGAGGTGAGGGGCTCCCCAAGCAGGGGCCTCTAGGCTGTCTCGCTTCTGAGCGTCTCAGCCCATTGGACTTTTTCAGCCCCTGTGACTCCCATCCCTGTCTCCTCTCCCTGTGGTTTCTCTCCCTGGTTTATGGTCCCTTGTGTGGCTCAGTCGCCCTCCTGTCCTTTGCTCTCCTCCGCTTGCCCTGCAGGCAAGTGCTGATACTGGGGCTTCGGGGCTGTGGCCTGTGGGCGGAGCTCAAGACCCTGCGCGCTCAGAGCCAGGAGCTGGAGGATGCAGCCGGGCATCGGCAGCTCCTGCTGAGGGAGCTACAGGCCAAACAGCAGCGGATCCTGCACTGGCGTCAGCTGGTGGTGAGAGGCTGGGCCTAGGAAGAGGTGGCGGGGCCTTGTGGAGGGCCAGAGGGGAGGCTTGAAAACTGGCTAAGAACTGGACCTAAGCCCAGTGTGGTAGCACATGCCTGTGGTTCCAGCACCTTGGGAGGCTGAGGTGGGAGGATCACCTGAGCCCAGGAGTTCAAGGCTGAAGTGAGGTATGATCACACCACTGCACTCCAGCCTGGGTGACAGAGCAAGATGCTGTCACTTAAAAAAAAAAAAGAATGCTGTCACTTAAAAATTAAGAACTGGGCGTCCTAGGCAAGAGCCCAGGTGAGACTCCCAGGCAGAAGCAGGACCTAAGTAGAGAGGCGCACTAAGGCTGGGAGCTGGGAGGAGTGAATCTCAGGGTATCCTGGTTCCTCAGGAGGAGACCCAGGAACAGATCCGCCTGCTCATCAAGGGAAACTCAGCCAGCAAGACCCGCCTGTGCCGGAGCCCAGGGGAGGTGAGATGGGCGTTGAGCTGAGGTCTGGGTAGGGCTGGATCTGCCAAGATGGGGCTGGGTGGACGTGGGCTGCCCCACCCATCCCTCGCCTTCCCCGCAGGTGGTATCTCTGGTCCAGCGAAAGGTGGTCCCTACATCTGAGGCAGTGGCACCGCAGAGCCGGGAGCTGCTGCGCTGTCTGGAGGAGGAAGTCCGGCATTTGCCTCACATTCTGTTGGGCACCCTGCTGCGGCACAGCCCTGGAGAGTGAGACTGGGGCCGCCCCATCCCTGCCCTGCATCCCCTGCCATGGGTGACTGTCGCTCCCTGAACCTCCTCAAAAAAGATAACCCCAGACCCCCAGTGTTCCCAGGCTGCCAGACCTCACCCTTGGGTCGGCAGCCCTGGTCTTGGCATCCTAGGCCCCAGACCCACCTTGAAATTCCTGGGTCCCCAGAGCCTCCAAAACCCAAGGCCTCTTCTCAGTACCCACCCAACCCAGACTTCTCCCCACCCCTAGGTTGAAGCCCCTGCCCACAGTCCTCCCATCCATCCACCAGCTGCACCCCGCATCCCCAAGGGGCTCCAGCTTCATAGCACTGAGCCACAAGCTGGGGCTGCCCCCAGGGAAGGTGAGTGCCTGTCTCCTGTGACCTGTCTCCCCAGCCCCGCCCCAGATGACTATCCTTCCCTCCCCTTCCAGGCCTCGGAGCTGCTCCTGCCGGCAGCTGCCTCTCTTCGCCAGGACCTTCTGTTCCTGCAGGACCAGCAGAGCCTCTGGTGCTGGGATCTGCTCCACATGAAGACCAGCCTGCCGCCGGGCCCTCCCACCCAGGGTAGGCCTGCCCTGCCGCCCCATCCAGCCTCCCCGCCCATTCCCACTACCAACAGCCTCCACGAGTCCTTACCAGCAACCCCGTTGCTTACACAGTGTCCACTGTGTGCTAAGGGCTTTAAACAGTCTCCCTTCTTTCATCTGCACAGCAGTCCCATGAGGTAAGTGCTGCTGTTCTCTCCATTCTACAGAGAAGGGAACTAAGACGCAGAGGTTAGTAGGTTGCCCAAATGGCAAAGCTGGAATTTGAATCCAGGTGGTGTGAAATGGGTCCGTGCTCCCAACCACTAAGCCACACTGCCCGTCGACTTTCCACGTGTTCATTCATCACCGTCACGTAGTATACCTCAGCAGTTCAAAGCCTGGGAATCCTCTCTGCCCTGTCTCTTCCTAACTGTGCGGCCTGCCCGTGCCTTAGCTTCCTCTTCAGTGGAGTAAGCATAAAGCAATGTCTTACCGAGGTGCTGGGCAGATTCAGGCAGGGGACCCGCACAGGGCACTGAACACTGCCTGCTATGCAGTAAGCACCCTGCGTCTCCAGTGTGATTAGCATCATTGTCTGTGTACACACACAGTCTCTTGGAGTCATGACCATGAGGAAAGGGACTTTAAGACCCCCAGTTTACAGATGAGGATACTGAAGGTGAGAGAAGTTCGTTAATTCCTGGATTCACTCACCAGATACTCACTGGGTGTCTGCCAGGTGCCGGCCCAGATGGCTTGATGGGGAGTGAGGAGAAAGGTCCCCACCCCAGGGGTTTCCCCAGGATGGAAGTAAAGAGTAAAGAATGAAAGGATAAATACATGGAAGAGGAGAATTGATGAGAAATGAACTGGCAGTGCCAGCAGCACTGGAGGAAGAGACTGTGTTCCAGCCTCTGAGTTTGGGGCCCCCTGCCCTCCACTTCTCCACGAGGGGAGGGAGCAGTGTGCAGGAGCAATGAGAGCAGCCCCAGACCCTGCATGGCCTCTGCCCACCATGGCCTCTGCCCACCTCAGCCTCTGCCTACCATGCCTTTGGCCCACCGTGCCCTCTGCCCACCTCATGCGTTTTTTGGTTTTGCTTTTGTTTTTTTGAGACAAGGTCTCATTCTGTCACCCAGGCTGGAGTGCAGTGGTGCCATCCCGGCTTACTGCAGCCTCAACCTCCTGGGCTGAAGCCATCCTCCTACCTCAGCCTCCCGAGTAGCTGGGACCACAGGCATGCACCACCATGCTTGGCTAATTATATATTTCTTGTAATCATGGGCATCTTGAACGCTACACATCTATCATGGAACTCCTGGTTCTCTCTACTCCAAAGAACAATTTTGTTCCTCCTCTTCTTGTTTCCTCCCTTGTTAAATTATCTCACCCTCCTCATCCAAGTGCTGTACCCAGAAACCCAGGAGTCATCCTGAATTTCCCCATCTCCCTAATCCCCCCACCCCCACCAGCTTCAACCTCTTAGCAAGCCCTAAGGGTCCCATCCCCAGAGTTCTCCCGACCCTCTGCCCCACTAGCCTACAGCTCCAGTAATTCCACCTGACAGCAGACGGAGCTGAAGAAAGAGCCAGTGTCGTGAGCAAGGTCACAGGGCAGGGATGGGATGGGGTCAGGATTCAGGCCCAGCTTGTCTGATCACGCTGCTCGTCGACACTTGCTGAGCTGGGCCTGTTCTGCACACATGGAGAGGGAGTAGACCCAGTCCCAGTCCCAGAGGAAAGCACCACTATCGTGAAGCTAGAGCAGGTGGAGGAGGAAGCCTTGGGGCGAGGAGTGTTGGAAGGGCCTCCAGGAGGAAAGATGCTCTCTACTGTGGGCCCTGGGGATCGGCCAGGTTTTGCCACATCATGAAACTCAAATACCTACTGAAGAGCTTGGACTCTGCCTTGGGGGTACTGGAGAACCTTGGAGGGTTCCAGACAGGAGGGAGAGCATCAGATTTAGGCTTCAGGAAGATCCCTGTGTATAGTGCAGAGGGTAAGCCAGAGCAGGAGACCGAGGCCTGGAGCAGAGGAGAGGAAGAAACGCTCAGAAGACTGAGCGGACAGGCCATGGAGATTGATGGACTCTCAGGGGTAGGGAGGAAAGCATCCAGAAGGAGGCCTGGGTGGGGCCGGGGGGATGGTGTGGACTGCCCTTAAGATGAGAACCTGGGAGGAGGGACAGGTCCTCATCTCAAGGGCGGTCCCTCAGAAGGGGACTTCCAGGCTGGGAAGAGGAGACAGACTCATCATTAGTTTGTGGGAAATGCTGAGGTCAAGACTAGGGGACTGGAGACTTGGGGACTCATTGCTGTAAGGTACCAGCGAGCCAGAGGACTCAAAGCTGCCTCCCGGCTTTCTCACCCTCAGAGCTGCTGCAGATCCAGGCATCCCAGGAAAAACAGCAGAAAGAGAACCTGGGGCAGGCTCTGAAGAGGCTGGAGAAGCTGCTGAAACAGGCGCTGGAGCGAATCCCTGAGCTGCAGGGGATCGTGGGGGACTGGTGAGAGGGGAACGTGCTGTGGGTGGGAAACAGAAAAGTCAGGACTCAAGCCGGGGGGCTGGTGAAAAGGAGCAGGCCATGGTTTTGCGGGGAGGCCAGCGAGGGTCTGGAGGGCCAAGCCTTCTCTTTGATGCCATGCCCTTCCCCAGGTGGGAGCAGCCAGGCCAGGCCGCCCTCTCTGAGGAGCTCTGCCAGGGCCTGTCCCTGCCCCAGTGGCGGCTGCGCTGGGTTCAGGCCCAGGGGGCCCTGCAGAAGCTGTGCAGCTGAAGAGAGTGTTCAAACAGAAGCCGAGAACTTGACACTGTTCACCCCAACACCTCACCTCCCCCAGGACATTTGGAAGAAAGCGGCGCCAGGATTCCTCGGCCGTCATCCCCACCCACACCTGCAGTCCCCTCACGTGCTGTTCTGTTGCCCCGCTCAGCTCCCTGGCCCCTGTCCTTTCATCACTTTTATTCTCAGCAAAAAGTAATTGAGCACCTCCTCTAGGCGCTGGGGAGTCCACACTGAACAAAAAGCCAGAAGACCCTGTCTTCCAGCAGTTGAGTTCTAGGGCAGGGAGACGGAGTTTACAAGATAAGGAAAATATACATGTAGGCCGGGCGCGGTGGCTCAAGCCTGTAATCCCGGCACTTGGGAGGCCGAGACGGGTGGATCACGAGGTCAGGAGATCGAGACCATCCTGGCTAACACGGTGAAACCCCGTCTCTACTAAAAAAAAAAAAATACAAAAAACTAGCCGGGCGATGTGGCGGACGCCTGTAGTCCCAGCTACTCAGGAGGCTGAGGCAGGAGAATGGCATGAACCCGGGAGGCGGAGCTTGCAGTGAGCTGAGATCCGGCCACTGCACTCCAGCCTGGGCGACAGAGCGAGACTCCGTCTCAAAAAAAAAAACAAAAAAAAGGAAAATATACATGTAGTATGCTGCAGGTTAACTGCTGGGTGGGAAATCCAGCAGGGGGTGGGAGGTGTGATTTGAATTGAGTGCCACACTGCCCAGATCACACTCCATCAAGGGGTGAGCAGGAGCAACGGGGTGGCTGAGGAAGAGCTTGCAGCTCAAGGCAACAGCACATGCAAAGACCCTGAGCCAGGATGTGCTGGAATAAGGGCCATAGAGGTGGACAGTATAGGTTGGGGATAAGGAATGTATTAAAAGATGAGAATGCCTTCTAGTTTGTATAGTTTCTTTTTTTACATGTAAATCAGCCATTTGGAATTTATCCTAGCACATGGATCCAATTTTGTCTTATTTTACATATATCCTAGTAGCACTTACTGAAATTCCTAGTCAGAGTGGCAGTTGCCTCTGAGGGAAGGTGGGCGGCTGGGATCAACTGAGGAGGAGACACAGAAATGTCCTAGCTGATGGGAATGTGCTGTGTTGAGAGCAGCGGAGGTGATGCAGGTATAGAGATTTGTCAGAGCTCATCTAGCTGTAGTCTTAAGGCCTGTGCATTTCACTGCATGGGTTACTCCATTTATAAAGCAAAGCCTTATGCTTTTGATATGCCACCTTTTTATGCGCTAAATGTCCATGTTTAATTGGATTATATCTGGCTTCTTTCCAGAACTGCTTTGTATTTAACCCTCCATGTGCCATTCCCACAGTAGCTTAATAGAAAGGCTTGTGATACATTGTCATATCTGTTTTTGTTTTCTTTTGTTTTTGTTTTTGTTTTTGAGATGGAGTCTCACTCTCTTGCCCAAGTTGGAGTGCAGTGGTGTCATCTCAGCTCACTGCAACCTCCGCCTCCCAGGTTCAAGCCATTCTCATGCCTCGGCCTCCCCAGTAGCTAGAATTACAGGCACGCACCACCATGCCCAGCTCACTTTCATACTTTTAGTACGGACGGGGTTTCATCATGTTGGCCAGACTGGTCTTGAACTCCTGACCTCTAGTGATCCGCCAGCCTCAGCCTCCCAAAGTGCTAGGATTACAGGCGTGAGTCACCACACCCAACCACATGGTCATATCTGAAACGGCTGGATGCTCTTAGGTGCTCTTTTTCTTTTTCTTTCTTTCTTTTTTTTTTTTGAGACAGAATCTGGCTCTGTTGCCCAGGCTGAAGTGCAGTGGCACGAACTCAGCTCACTGCACCCTCTGCCTCCTGGATTCAAGCAATTCTCATGTCTCAGCCTCCTGAATAGCTGGAATTACAGGCACCTGCCACCATGTCTGGCTAATATTTGTATTTTTTGTAGAGTCGGACCTTTACCATGTTGGCCAGGCTGCTCTCCAACTCCTGGCCTCAAGTGATTCTGCCGCCTCTGCCTCCCAAATCTTTGCCTACTGGGATTACGGTTTCCCCTATCTCGGTAATTTTTTTTCCCCAAATTAAGTGAACATTAGATTTAATTTGCCTGACCCCAGAAGAAAAACAGGCACAGATGGTAGTTTTACTGGTGTTGCAGTAAGTTTTCAAATTTGGAAGTTTGGCAGCTTTATGATCTTAAACCTTGCTGTCCATCTCTCACACAACTCCTCTGTTGGCCTCCAGAGCCCCTTCACTCTCCCAGCTTTCCTCCTGCCCCTGGTTGCTATTTCCCAGCCTTTCCATGTTGGCTTTCCCATGCACAGTCCTTAGTGTTCCTGCTCCTCCTCTCTCTCCTCATCACAGTTCCCAGCCCCCACCTTCAACTGAACTCAACAAAATCTTCAACTTCATACGGTAGTCACATTGTTAGTAATAACACTGGCATTTTTATTTTGATAAAATAGACCGTTTAAATTTTGAGATTCTACCTTATATTTTTTGAAATTACACACTAAAGCAAATAAGTAGTGATATAATGTCATTGGGGACCGAGATTTTTAGTGTGAATGAAAAAAGATAACAAATATAAACTCAAAGAAGTAAACACCTGTCTTTCATATGAACTGGAAATATCAGAATAAAGTCATGATTTTTCTCTTTCTAAAAAATATATATTTCCCTGGTTAAGTCCCCTGAAAAGGTCTAAATATAATGACACCCCAGTAACTGAGCAGCACTAGTGTACAGACTGTGGTCTCTTTTTTTTTTTTTTTTTTTTTTTTTTTTTTGAGACGGAGTCTCGCTCTGCTGCCCAGGCTGGAGTGCAGTGGCCGGATCTCAGCTCACTGCAAGCTCCGCCTCCCGGGTTCACGCAATTCTCCTGCCTCAGCCTCCCCAGTAGCTGGGACTACAGGCGCCCACCACCTCGCCCGGCTAGTTTTTTGTATTTTTTAGTAGAGACGGGGTTTCACCGTGTCAGTCAGGATGGTCTCGATCTCCTGACCTCGTGATCCGCCCGCCTCGGCCTCCCAAAGTGCTGGGATTACAGGCTTGAGCCACCGCGCCCGGCCGACTGTGGTCTCTTAAGTGCCATTTCTGACTAAGAACTAGGGACTCTTGTGAAAACAGCTGATTCTAGGTCTGGGGCAAGAAATGTGCAAAATGTGTACAGGATATTTTGTGCCAGGAAGCAAAGAAGTCCTCCAAGACTACTGTGGCCAAGTCAAAGGAACTCAGGAGCCAGTCTGAAGGGCTCTCACTGGCCAAAGGTGGGGCATGTTGAGCAGTAAAAAGAACCACAGTGGTTTGAAGCACATCAAATATGCCTGAATCTGTAAGTTCATGTTGATACTCATATACCTCATTGAAATCACCTTTGAAGAATACTAGGCACCCATTCATTATTTTGAAAAATTTTATATATAAAAGAAGCATGTTCTCTATTTTTCTTATACGTACAAGTAACCAATTTTTTTGTTTGTTTGTTTGTTTGTTTTTTTGAGACAGGGTCTCGTGCTGTCGCCCAGGCTGGAGGGCAGTGGTGAGATTTTGGCTCACTGCAACCTGTGCCTCCTGGGTTCAAGTGATTCCCCTGCTTCAGCCTCCCAAGTAGCTGGGATTACAGGAGCGTGCCACCATGCCCAGCTAATTTTTGTATTTTTACTAGAGACTGGGTTTCGCCATGTTGGCTAATCTGGTCTCGAACTCCTGACCTTAGATAATCTGCCTGCCTCAGCCTCCCAGAGTGCTGGGATTATAGGTGTGAGCCACTGTGCCCGGCCTAAGTAACCAAATTTCTGATGAAGAGGTTATTTATGGAAGAATCACAACTAATAACTTCAGAGAAAATACTAGAATTCAAAAACCACTATTTGCCATGAATTAATTAAGTGATGGATACAAGTAATGATGATGAAGGGCTACTAAAACTATTAGGGGAAAGGTTGATTGGGCTGTCTCAAAAAATAATAACAAAAATAAAAGGCCAGGCATGGTGGCTCACGCCTGTAATCCCAGCACTTTGGGAAGCTGAGGTGGACAGATCACTTGAGGTCAGGAATTCGAGACCACCCTGGTCAACATGGTGAAACCCCATCTCCTCTAAAAATACAAAAATGAGCCAGGCATGGAGGCACAAGCCTGTAATCCCAGCTACTCCAGAAGCCGGGGCAGGAGAATAGACTGAACCCGGGAGGTGGAGGTTGCAGTGAGCTGAGATGGCACCTGCACTGCAGCCTGGGTGACAGCGAGACTGTCTCAAAACAAATACATAAATTAAAATTAAAATACAAAATAAGAGTGTCAGACCTCTGAGCCCAAGCTAAGCCATCATATCCCCTGTGACCTGCAGGTATACATCCAGATGGCTTGAAGCAACTGAAGATCCACAAAAGTGAAAATAGCCTTAACTGATGACATTCCACCATTGTGATTTGTTCCTACCCCACCCTAACTGAAACGATATATTCTCCGCCCACCTTTAAGAAGGTACTTTGTAATATTCTCCCCTGCCCTTAAAAAGGTACTTTGTAACATTCTCCCCTGCCCTTAAGGTACTTTGTAACATTCTCCCCGCCCTTGAGAATGTACTTTGTAGGCCTATCCCAAACCTGTAAGAACTAATGATAATCCCACCAATCTTTGCTGACTCCTTTTTCGGACTCAGTCCGCCTGCACCCAGGTGAAATAAACAGCCTTGTTGCCCACACAAAGTCTGCCCAATTGGTGCTCTCTTCACACGGACGCGCGTGACAAAGAGAAGAATAGATCAAGTGAAATCCAGACGTGTTGAATATTGGTAGCGTTTGAGAGGTACTTAAGAGTTCGTTATACTATTCCCCCTAATGTGCATGTTTGAAAATACTCAGAATAAAACACTTGTGAGGGCTACGGGGATAAAAAGAAAAAAAAAAAAAAAGGGTCAGCTGTGGCCCAAGAAAGGACAGGGACCAAGCCCACGGACGTGCTCCTCTGAGTTGCACTAGTCTCTGGGCCTTGACTCCCACACTGAACAGCCTCCTCAAAAGTCTTCAGCTGTCGTCCAGGAAGCCCGGGTCAGGCGCTTCCTCCTGGGCGTCTCTGGTCTTCGTGGGAACCACAGGTCGGGTGTCAACCTGGGGACCCCAGGCCTCCCAGCCTTGCCCAATCCTGGGGTTGACGCAGACTTTAGCGTCTTTTTAAACTTCCGGCGCAGGCTCCGCGGTGGCACAGGACGGTCCTCCGAAGTTTCCTGCGTTCTCAAAGGTCCAGATTCCACATTGGGGATGGGCCCAACTGACTTTGCTTCGCTCTCATTAGCCCGTGGGCCCCCAGGAAGGCGGGGCCGCCTCTCTTCGCTGTGCTCTCATAGGCCCAGGTTCTTGCGTTCGTGTGTCCTTCTCTCACTCTGATTGGCCTGTAGTCCCCTGAGGGTGTGGAAAAATCTCATTGGCTCTCGCGCCCGAAAGTATGACGTCATGCGCCACCGCCCGTCGCTTTCGCTGGACGTCATCGTCGGGCGCCCACCCAGACGAAGGCTGAGAGTAGACAGCAGAACCAGCGGCGGCAGCTAAGCTGAGACAGTAGTAGCGGCGACAACGACGGCGGCAGCGATGGCTGGGGCGGGGCCAGCCCCGGGACTCCCGGGTGCAGGAGGACCCGTGGTCCCGGGTCCTGGCGCTGGCATCCCGGGCAAGAGCGGCGAGGAACGCTTGAAGGAAATGGAGGCGGAGATGGCCCTGTAAGGCCCGCGACAGGGAGTAATAAAAGTCGTCCCAGAGCCAGAGTCACCGAATCCCGGAGCCTCCAGGCCTCGATAGGCCAGAGATACGGCTCTAACATGGGGAAGTGGGACCTTCGGGATTGTGGGGGCGGGGATAGGGGAGAGGTTGGCAGGGGTGAGGGTCCCCTCGCGATATACCCAGAGTTACAAAATTGGTACGAGGTCCTGAGCGCTGGTGTCTGTTCTTCTCCTCCAGGTTTGAGCAGGAAGTTCTGGGGGCTCCAGTACCCGGAATCCCAACTGCTGTGCCTGCGGTGCCCACGGTCCCCACGGTCCCCACGGTAGAAGCGATGCAGGTCCCAGCGGCTCCTGTGATCCGTCCAATTATCGCGACCAACACATACCAGCAGGTACGGCTGAGCTAAGGCATATAAGTTAGGGAACACAATGCCTCGAACACGGTAGGTGTTTGTGTAGAGAGCTGTTGACGTTTTAGCTTGTTGACTAATTAGCATGACAAATATTTTATGTGCCAGGCACTGAGAACACAGTAATGACTGAGGGAGACATTTCTGCCCTTTGGGCGCTTATATTCTAGAGCATGTTGTCCAGTAGAGCTTTCTGCAATGATGAGAATGTTCTGATATATTTTAAATTCATATTTAATAGTTCGTTATTCTCAGTCACATTTCAAGTGCTCAGTAGCCAGCTATATATGACTAGTAGAGAAAGAGAGAAATTATTGAGAATAGGCTGGGCGCTGGGTGCGGTGGCTCACACCTGTAATCCCAGCACTTTGGGAGGCTGAGACAGGCAGATCACAAGGTCAGGAGATCCATCTTGGCCAACATGGTGAAACCCCGTCTCTACTAAAAATACAAAAATTAGCTGGGTGTGGTGGCACGCGCCTATAGTCCCAGCTACTTGGGAGGCTGAGGCAGGAGAATCACTTGAACCTGGGAAGCGGAGGTTGCAGTGAGCCAAGATTGCACCACTGCACTTGAGACTGGTGACAGAGCGAGGAGACCAGTGACAGTGGAGTGAGCAAAGAGGAAAGTGGGAGGAAATAAGGACAGAGAGGTGAGGCCAAATCTTGGAGAGCCTTACAGCCATTTTAAGAACCCTGGCAGCCAGGCACAGTTGCTCTTGCCTGTAATCCCAGCACTGTGGGAGGCCAAGGCAGGTGGATCACGAGGTCAGGAGTTCAAGACCAGCCTGGCCAACATGGTGAAACCCCATCTCTACTAAAAATACAAAAATTAGCCGTGCGTGTTGGCGGACTTCTGTAGTCCCAGCTACTCAGGAGGCTGAGGCAGGAAAATCACTTGAACCCAGGAGGCGGAGGTTGCAGTGAGCCAAGCTTGTACCACTGCACTCCAGCCTGGGCGACAGAGCGAGACTCCATCTCAAAAAAAAGGAATAGACTGTAAAAGACAAGGGCAGAAGCCAGGAGATGGAGGAAGGGGCTAGTACGGTAATCTAGACAGGAGCTAATGGTGGTTTGGATGGAGGTTGTGCATGTTAGATGGGGAGGAGGTTGGACACAGTTGCAGTCGGTGCTAAGTGCTGTGGGGAAGACGAAATAAGGTGGTGAGAGAAGCTGCTGCTCAGAGAGCCCTAGTGTGATCCCAAAAGCCTCCCCGAGAAGTGGCATTGTAGCTGAGACCTGAGATAGCCAGTCACATACAGAACATAAAGCATGAAGCTCTTGGTCTCTTGGGGTGAGCTAGCCTCAGCAGATGGGGAAGGCTGAGTCAGGCCCCTCACCCTGACCTCTT